AGCTCCAGCCATGGCTGGCTCATAAAAAGGGTAATTGCAAGAAAGAACTGAATCGTTTCAGTCTTGATCCAAGTGATTTAATTATATGCTGCTGCATCATACACCAAGAAAGTCTCTGTGCACAGTTGTTGGGGCTCAACAATTTGATGTTTCAGTGGGGGTAAAAGGAGAAACATCTGTAACAAAAATAAATTAATTAAAAAAATAAAATGGGTACAGTAAAACAAAACAAAACAATTTGATGTCAACAGTAGTGTAATGCATCAATTTTGTCAAAAGCAGAGGGTTTAACAGCCACAGTTTAAGGAGTTACTGCATGATCTTGACTCTGAGTAAGGTGACCTTGTTTATCACTATGAAGTGCAGTGGCTAAGTCACTGGAACATGCTCCTGAGGTTTTATGAACTACAGGATGAAGTCAAGCAGTTTATGGAGATGAAGGGAAAACCTGTCAGGGAACTCAATGATAGCAAGTAGCTGTGTGATTTAGTATTCATGGTGGACATTACCAAGTACCTCTCAGAGCTGAACATCAAGCTGCAAGACCCCAACCAGCTTCTCAGCTCCCTGCTTTCAAACATGAAATCATTTGAAGCTAAATTAAGGCTGTGGAAAGTGCAACTTGAAAGGAATAGCATGTGCATTTCTCCCCTCTGGAAGGACAAAAACCTCTGACACTTGAATATGCTGGTGAATGTGTACAATTAACTGAGGCACTTAATTAAAGATCCAAGGACGTGAAAAATAAACAAATGTAATTGAACATCTTTGCTACACCTTTCAATGTGTAACCCGCTGATGTGCCTGATAACCTACAACACGATATTATTCAGCTACAAAGCGATGATGAACTGAAAGCTAGGCACAACAATCTCCCAATGCTTGAGTTCTATAAATGTTGCATAAGCAATGATGAATTTCCCACTTTGAGGAGACATTCACTGATATACATCTGTGTTCAGAACAATACTGCTACTACCAGTTCTTTTCAAAACTTGCATTGCAAAGAGTCCACTGCGTTCCAGACTGACAGATGCAAACCTAGAAAAGCAGTTGCGAGTAGCAACATCATCAATACCAGCTAACATCACACAGCTCACTGAAGAGAAGCAGTTTCAGCCATCACATTAGGGGTGAGTTAATTAAAAGTTTGACCAAATATAGCAGGCTAATTTTTAAGTTGATAATTTTGTATGGCCTTCAAATGATGTTATTAATATCCAAATGGCCCTTGGCAGAAAAAGGTTTCCCACCCCTGCTCTAGGGGATGAAAGGCGTCTATCAGGTGGAAAACCTCACGAATGCTGGCCAGAAAGTTCTAGACTGACTGGTTAAGATTACATTCCTGAGAGAGGATGAACTGCAGTTAAGTTAGGTATTAAGTCTTAGTTTGGTGACACAGGGCTTAGTACAAGTGACTGCATTTTGGGGCTGCTGTGTCTTTTTTAACAGAGCTTAGCCCTCGTGAATGGGACTAGTGCACTTATAAAAGAGACCCCAGAGAGCTCGCTCCCTACTTCTGCCATGTGAGGACAGAGAAAAGACAGCCATCCATGAACTAGGAAGCCAGCTCTCATCAGACACAGAATCTTCTGGTGCCTTGATCTTGGACTTTCAGACTCTAGAACTGTGAGAAATACATTTTTATTGTTTATAAGCTACTCAGTCTATGATGGGTTTTTTTTCCCCCTACAATTTTTATTAATTTACTTTTGTTACAGATGTTTCTCCTTTTTCCCCCCTAGACCCCTTCTTCCCCATCTTGCCCCCCCCACCTCCCTAGCATTGTTGTCTATGTCCATTGGTTATGCATACACGCATATAAGTTCTTTGGTTCATTGCTTCCATCCCCCCCGCCCCCCTACTCTGAGGTTTGTCAGTCTGAACCATACTTCTTTCAATGTCTCTGGGTCTATATCGTTCATCAGCCCACCTTGTTCATTATATTCCACCAATAAGTGAGAGTATGTGGTATTTCTCTTTCTCTGATTGGCTTATTTCACTTAGCATAATATTCTCAAGGTCCCTCCTCATTGTCTCAAAGGATAAGAGATCTTTCTTACAGCTGCATAGTACTCCATTGTATATATGTACCACAGCTTTTTTTATCCACTCATCTATTGATGAACACTCGGGCTGTTTCCAGATCTTAGCGATTGTAAATAGTGCTGCTATGAACATAGTGGTAGATATATTCTTTGATTGGTGTTTCAGGCTTCTTATGATATATTCCTAGAAGTGGGATCACTGGGTCAAATTTTTAATTTTTTGAGGAAACAGCCATAGTGGCTGCACCAGTCTGCATTCCCACCAGCAGTGTACTAGAGTCCCCTTTTCTCCACATCCTCGCCAGCACTTATTTGATGATTTGTTGATGGCAGCCATTCTGGCAGGTGTGAGGTGATACCTCATCGTTGTTTTAATTTGCATCTCTCTGATGATTAGTGACGTTGAGCATTTCTTCATATGTCTCTTGGCCATTTGTATGTCCTGTTTGGAGAGGTATCTATTCAGCTCCTCTGCCCATTTTTTAACCGGGTTCTTTGTCTTCCTTTTGTTGAGTTGTATGAGCACTCTAAAAATTTTGGTAATTAACCCTATGATGTGTTTCTTATAGCAGCCCAAAAGGACTAAGAAAAAGCCCTCTGTCATGTCCAACATTTAGACTCGTTCCTAACACCAGGGGACATCCCCTGTCCATGACCCCCATTCCACTCAGCATAGGCAACTTTCTGTAAGTGTTTTCTCTATTAGTAATTTTCATATAAACAGATTATCCTTTTGGATACACCTATTAATGCATTTGAACACAGATCTTGAATATTTACTTGTTATCATATACCTGATATGTTTAACTGTCAAACTGGTACCATGGCCTTATTTTACATATACTGTCAATGCTGCATGATCATTTATAAAGAACAAGTCACTGAGATTCTCATAAATGTAAAGAGCTTTGGGATATGTCTTCAGGTGAATGGACAGATACACTTCTTCAGCAGATGCATCTGCTTATTCAATTGTATCAATCTTTGCTCAAGCTGAATTAGAGAGAAGCCACCATACTTCTTGTTAGGTGGGATGCCCCAATAAACAACAACAATTGTGAGACCCAATGAATGAGTATGTTTTCCCTTTTTATTGGAATTCTAATTTATCTGATGTACTCTAATTCTTGGGAGAGAATAGGGGGTATGGTTTTGCCTGAAGACTGAAGAGCAGACTAGGTCTCTTTTGAGAGTAGGGGTGACATTTTATAGCTCTTTGTATTTGTCTCACATTGCTCATTTTTTGGAAACCTCCTTTTGGAAATCTCTCTTTATGAAATTCTTCAACCTACAAAGAATACTTCTTTAAAAATATGGTTATAGTTCATTCTTCCAAAAACCAACCTGGACCCACATTGATTCACAGGTGCTAGCTCAATTTCTATGGAATCAGCAGCATCTAATGCTAAGACTTCAAGTGCCCTGACCTATTTCTTCTCTTCTTTGCTTACTTTTCAGTTTCTGTATTTTACCTTTTTGGCTGGCATTGCATTAAATTTGCCTATGGGGAGCTTGGTAGTTGGTACTGAAAAGCAAAGAGCTGGATGTCTCCAGGTTAAAGTTGTAACTCTCCAGTTCTCTATTTTTTTTCTTTGAGATTTATTAGAGTAGAATGTTACTAAGACATTGTAATTCTCACTTAGAGTATGACTGTATTTTATTCTAATACTAAGTTCAAATATTACCATAGCCTAGTATCTATATATCTACATCTATGTATCTTCAAGAGTCACAACTCTTATGCAGTATAGATTGAGTTTTACAACAAAATTTATTCGATAAATATTTATTGTGTCTTATGTACCAAGAATGAGAAAATGTTGGTGGACAAGACAGAAAGTTTCCTGGTCTCCTGGAGCCAGCACTATAGAAGCAGAATGGCTTCACAGTTCATTTATAAGAACAATAGTGTTAGAAACTGGAAGGGGATACACATTTGCCATGCTCAGTAGTATATCCTAAACATGGAATTGAAAAGAAATTAAAACAAAATATTTCAGATCAATTACTTTTATTCAGGAAATACATGCTCATTATTTTCTTCAAACTAGAAATTACTTTATCCCTCTTTTCTTTGAAGTTCTCTTAAATCTGTTATTATTCAGGGTCTTCATCCAATTTTTCATCAAATTACCCTATTTGTAGCTTCCAAACGTTAACACCTCTTTGCTGAAATGAAGCCTATAAATGCCTTAGGGGCTTAAACTGTGTGTGAGGCAGAAATGGTATTTAAGCCCTTAATGAAATTATGAGCTTTGAAAGTGTTGCATTTTGGGTTTATAGGAGTCTTCCTCCATTTCTCTTTTTTTTGGGGGGTGGGGGGAATACTCTTAATTCACTTTTTTTTTTTTTTACCTGTATTGTCTTCTCTTTTAAAATAACGATTTTCGTGAATTGGAGATTTAAGAACACATCACACTGCTTCAAGGCATCCGTGAACTTTGTGTTTATGTGTTTTTCCAACTCTCAACGAAGGTTTTTTTTTTTCTAATCCTCGCAGGCAGAAAAACTAAGTATGTCTCTCGTTTCATCGATCTTTCTCCAGAAAAATGAAAGTGAAAAGAAAACGAAATAGAGACGCGTGGAGCAAAGAGCCTGGAGAGGAGAGAGGAAAAGCGGGGATAGAGGGGGGAAAGGAGCGAGAAAATGAAGGAGCACTGGAGTCCTGACTGCGATTGCGGACGAGCCGACTCAGAACCAGAACGCGGAGCCGCCCGCGCCCACTGGTCCTCGGGGCTGCCAATCCGGGCGTAATCCTGTAGGAATTTCTCCCAGGTTTAGCTGGGAGTCACATTGCCGCCTCCTCTCCCCCAGACGCCGGGAGAAGCCCGGAGCAGCCAGCTAGGCAAGGAGGGAGGGCAGGAGGGAGGGCAGGAGGGAGCGGGCGGCGAGGACGCGAGGAGGAGGACCGCGGGAGGGAGGCGGCGGCGCGGCCGGAGGAGGGGCGCAGCCGCTGAGCCACTAGCCGCGCTCCGCCGCGCTGCTCTCCAGATACTTCGGGAGCTCCAGCCGCGGGGAGCGCGCCCCCACCGCTCTGCCCCCAAACTTCAGCAGCAGCTACATTCCAAGCCAATTAATTTATTCTTCAAGAAAAGAAGCTGAGCCAAGACACGGAGAAGAGTCCACGGAGGAGTAAAATAACAGCAGAGCAAGAAGAGCTCCAGAGAGCAGCTTCCCCAGAGCAACAACTCGGCGTCGGGAGTGCAGAAAGCAAGTGAGAAGGCTTCGCGTTCCCAGGGTGCAGCCGAGGACCCGGAGCCAACGCAGGAGAAGGCAGCGAGCGTCTCCGAGCCCCGAGCCGGCGCCCCGAGCCCGAGCCGCGGTTGCTGCGGCTGCTCTGCTCAGGATCCCTCTCGGAGGGCTGCGCCCAGTGCTGGGCAAGAAGCTTCGTTCCGCTCTCCTTGCCAGTGGCGACTCCCAGCCGGTCCTCGGGGGGAATATGCGGCGCGCTTGGATCCTGCTCACCTTGGGCTTGGTAGCCTGCGTGTCGGCGGAGTCGGTGAGTGGACCAAGCGAGGGTCGCGCGCAATTTAGGGGTGCTCGAGGCGGAGCGGAGTCCGCAGCACCCGTGGGAATCAGGGAGCTCCACCTTTGGGTTCTCACCTCTCCACACCCCCAGACACTGCGTTCGGCTCCCGGGGGGCTGCAGGAACAAATGCGCTCTCCACCACCCCTGTCCACCTTCCCTGCCCGCAGAAAAGCGCCCCTCGCTGGAGTTGCCCCTCGGTCCCCAGGGATGAGGGCTCGAGAACCGCAGTTTTGTCAAACCGCAGAGGCCCCTGAAGTTACTACCAACTTCTTCGCCTTCGGAGGGTCTTGCTGTGTCGCCCGGGAAGGACTGAGGGAAAGGGTGCTTGGAGACGGGAACCCGGATAGGGCTTGCAAGGGAACGGGTGCCCTCCACGCTCTCCTCGAGACTCAGGGGCGACCAGGAAACTTTGGGGTCCCTTCCACTGCACACCATCTCCCTACGCCAGCTTTCTTACTCGATTGAATGCAAGTTCAGAGGAGAGGTGGTCCTGATTTATGAAAGCCATGAGTGTTGGGAGAGGAAAGTTTGCCAAAGTTCTTTTGTTTGGTGATCTCCGTGGCTGGGGCGAGGGAGCAGACACTACGTGGAAATGCTACTCGCGGAGGCGCAGTCCGCGTTCTTGCTGCGGGTGCGCCAAACGGCCGGAAAATGCTGGGGCGCCGGCCTCTGTAATCCGGTCCTGCGGCGACCCTCTCCTCCTTGAAGAACCGAGCGCAGCCCGCGGGCCCTTGGGGACAGGACGACATGTTAATATTGATTGCATTGGAGTGCAGCATGCAGGACGTAGCGGGGTGCGTGTGGCACCACTCGGCCTCGGGTCGCCAGGCAGCTCGGGGACCGAGACTTCTAGCCCCCCATGCTCGCGGTCGCGGGCGCTGGCAGGGGTGCACCCGAGGCCGGGAGGAGTCTCTTCTCCCGCCCCCCGCAGGCTGCGGGCACTTGGTTTCCGGCGGTGGGAACTTGGTTTCTCCTTTGGGTGGGTTTCTCTGTGGCTGGAGCTCGTTTCCCTACGTCGCCCTAAGAGCGCCCTCTAATGGAAACTGTCTCCTGGGCTTCACCTGGTTCCCGGTAGCACCTACCTGGGCTCCCAGATCTTTGTCTGGGTAGGAGGAAGCCCATGGACCCAGGATTAGGTCTGCAGCATCAGGGCTGCCTGGGGTTCTCGATTAGGGAGTGCAGCTGTTTCTGATCCTTCGAGTTCCCCATATCTCCTCCGTGTGCCATCTAATACCGTGACCATTTCTAATGAACTGAAGTGTATCTTCGATCAAATAATGTCATCCTTAGGGGTGGTGGTGTGAGTTTTTCTCCTCCCCTCTGGAGTGTTACTCCCCCTTTGGCCCTTTTTTGAGTTGAGGCAATTTAGGGTTGGGAAACCTCTTTGGCACTGAGCAGCAGATGGCCATTTTTCATCAGTGTGGGAGCCTCTGTGTGAGCTAGCAGGTCCCCAAAGATTACTGGACATTGGACAGCAGGTAGAATTGTACACTGTACAGAATCTTTTGATTATTTGGGTGCTCAGGCTGTAAAATAGAATTCTGAGCCTTATCAGTATTATTTCTCTTTGGCAAATGATCTTTAATCCATTAGGATAGGTAGTTTCCCAGCCAGTTATGAACTTTGGCTCATTGTACACAAAAAGGGAGAGATTCTCTGTTTATTTCAGAAAAACATTAATGCTCATCTTGTTGCGAAACAGGGCAAAGAGACAACTCCATGTAAAGGTTTTCAAGAAAAGCCTGAGTAAACAGCTGTACAGGGTTAAGGAGGTTCTTTTTTTGCTGAGACTTGCCCAGGGTTTACTAAGAAATGTTACTAGATGGGGATTCTAGAAAAATAATGTCTCTATCTTCTGCCTCTGGGCTTTTGCATAAATCAGACAGTAGTGCAGCTTTTTGTCTGAACTGTACATCTCCTCCCCAGGTACCTTTCCCCCAAACTCGTTTTTGGGTTTCTAATATGTGTCATTTCCAACCAGAATTGGATGTTTTCCGAGTGAGCTGCTGTGCTGTGGTAGATACTATTTACAGTAATTGGAATATCATCCAGAAGGGTTCTTAGATATTTTTAAAATGTGAACTTGGGGACTCTAGCAGAGAGCCTTTGTTAGGCAATGAGTCAGTCCCTCTCAATGGAAGCTGTTTCAACATAGTCCATTTACATTACTTTTCAGTCTGTATTTGTTTCATGTACATCAGCATAAATGGAGGCAAAGTTGAAAGATTTCATTTTTAAACATTTAGCCATTATATGGCACATTATTTCTAGTACTTTGCATTTAAATTATGAAACTGCGACTGTTTCCTGTGAATTATAAGTAGTGATCTTCTGAGCTAAAGCCTCTCTTTAAAAGGAAGAAAGGAAAAATGTCTGTAGTTAGTGAATTCTTTAGTTAAACTAAGTTCAGGGGTAAAAAAAAAAAAAAAGGATTCTCAGGTAGCAAGCCTCAAAGCTGTCTGTGAGAAGGCACTGGTGGCCCTTCCTTTATGGACGCTAGGAACAGCAGGGACAGCCTGTTGGTGGTGATGCATTTGTACTTGCCGCTGGCAGGTTAGGACTTTCACTGCGGGAATGCCATGCAAGGGGAAAGGCTGAGTGTGGCAGTAGTGATATGCTGCTGCTTCTCTGTTCGTTTTCTACATGACTGTTTAGCTTTAGAAATAATATATTGCGGACTACTATAATGCATAATTTGAACTGGAAATAGGTTTTAAAAAAAAGGAAGTGTTTTGAACTAGTGGAATTTTTATGCACATACTTTGATGTGTATAAATTAAATGAAACTGTCAAGTCATTTGGACCCATACATTACCTCTCAGTGTGTGATGAAAGGCAGGTTTTAGAAAGCTTGTATTGGAAGGAAAAATAAAAATGGAACAATATAACCTTTTGCAGTGCTTTAAAAATATATATGTTGGCTGTTGGAGTAATGAAATAAATGACTTTTGCTAGGGAATTTTATAGAAACAAAGGCTCTTTCTCTGTTAGTTGGATATTAGCAGTAGGTAGATGTCATTTAAGAAGGAAAGATCTTATAAAATCAGGCTTGCAGAAGATGGGTGCCCTAGAAGGAATTTAAGTATGCCCTCCAACCCTTACGTCTGGAACCCGGTGCATCTAGTTTTGATGGTGCTCACCTTTCGAAAGACTGTGTAACATGATAACTCAAATGGTGCATTGACTAATCACTAGTTTGGAAAAGATTTCAAAGAATCATCTAGTTTTTTTTCTAGGTGGGACTAGTTCTCAAGTCTCCAGAATCCCCCAGGGACCTGACTGCCCAGCACTAGGTGTCCTGGGGTCTCCTGAGGTTGGCAGGGCCCCTGAGGCTGATCCAGCTACATAGAGCTTGGCCACCTTTGTCATTAGGGTTTATAGGGAGTCTGGTCAAGCCACTGTGCTGTTGGCCTGTCAGCTGGCAATGATCCAATAGGTCATGTGAGGAATGTCATCTGAGTTTCGATTCTCATGAGATTGTTCTTCCTCCATTTCCTAAAATCAAACTAAAAGATCTTACCTGTCATTTTCTTCTTCCCAAAACAGAAGACTTGCTATTCATGCCACTGTCGACAGTACATTATAGCATCTTAAAATCACCGAATTCTTTCATGAACCAGAAGCCAAAGTAAAGTTGTAATGAATGGCAAGAAGTAATGAAGAAGAGCCTTTGCTGAAAACAAGCTACTCCTTCTTATTTAACATTTTAGTCATCTGTGCCCATACCATCTCTTCATTGTAGCCTTTTTGATTCGAATTTTGAAGATGTCCTTGACTCATTTATCTTTGTTGACCTACATGTCTGGTTGGCCTCCACCTGTATGTTGTTTATTTCACAAATATTTATTCAGTCCCTACTAGGTGCTCAGGATAAATTAGTGAGCAAACAGGTGAACCCTCTGTCTTTTGGGAGTTCTCATTTTAGTGATCCAGGCAGTTTTCTCTTTCAGTTTTTTTTTTTTTCCCCTCTTGGGTCCTTGCCAGCTCATGCCTTGTCATTGCCCTTCTTGGCCCAGATGTTCATCTGCTATTTGATTTATCCTGTATCACTTTGATCGTATTGCCCATGCTCTATAAACTTCATGTTTCCTTATTATCATGGTGTAGAGTCTAAATACCTCTGCCAGATTTATAAGCTGCTCCATAATATTGTTCCTCTAGCTCATACCCTCTTGATCACTCTCAGTCATATTTCTGGGCCTCGGCCTACCTGTCTCACTGTTGTAAATGCTCCTGGGACACGACCTTTTCATTGTTTCTCCTTTTAAATTCTATTGCTTCAAATCCAAGCTCCAAAGAGCTTAACATGAATGATCCAGCCCTTGTTTTTGTCTTTCTATAAATAGGCACCCTGATTGATGATCAGAATTACTGAAAGTATTTAAAAATACTGATTTCAGGGCCTCCTGTCAGATCTACACATTAGAAACCTGAAAGGGGGTGGAGTGGTCTGTATTTTTATGAAGCATCTCAGAATCAGCCACATGTGGGAACCACTGCTCTGGGTTACGCATTTTACCCTTGATTCCAAGCTATTTTGTTTTAGTCCCAAGCCTCCCAGCAGTAAGTAGCTCTGTGACCCAGGGGACTAGGGTAGAGTGCAAGGGGGTTGGGCGTGGGAGGTGGACAAGTCCGGGTTCAGATGCTGATACTTTTCCACTTACTCAGTTTTGCCAGCAAACTCTGAGTCAGTTAAAAAACTACACTAGTGTGTGTATAAATTGTATCTAAGAATGTCTTAATAACATGACTGTTGTGAGCATAAGCTGAGGGAGCAGAGGGTGGTGCCTAAGGCACAGAGGCACTAAGTGTTTTTTTTTTCCCCTTTGTTTTCTTTTTTGACCTCTGTTTTCTTGACTATGAAACCAGGGAGCCGCATGAGATGTTCCTTAGGCCTCAGAGACCTCTGACATTCTATGGAGGTTGGTTCCACCTGAGGGGAGGGCCCTTGTTTCCACACCTTGACCCCT